CATTGGAAGCCAAGTAACCAAACAGGAATTCAAAGAGATAAGAAATAAAACACACCAGAAAGCTACAGGGGTTCTAGATTGGGTCTAATGCATTAATATGAGACAAGACAACCAGTCCTTGTTTCTTTAATTAAATACATGAAAAAGAAATGACATCACTCCTGTTTTTCTCCCCCTTTTTCCCCTCAAAAAAAAAAAAAGAAAGAAAGAAAGAAAGAAAAGGTAGTAGAACTAAGAAAATTTGGAATGTTCAGATGAGCCAATTCATATTTAAAGTCCCCATGTGAAGAGTGACGAGTTCCCCCTGAAAGATAGGTTAGTCAAAATGAGGAGAGTACAAACAATACCACTACAAAAAGCATCCCTGATATCAGAATAGAAGCAAATGAGGAAGTAGGCCAAATAGCTTGCCGATTCTTAGGCAAAAATCATCTTCAGACCTGGCATTTCTGTGCTGAGGTCTCTGCTCAGGGGAGAAGCCTATTGCTTTGCTCTTGCTGGCAGCTCTGTGGGAGGACGCGCCGGGCGTGCCAGGCAGCCCGCACTCATGGAGAAAGCTATGTACGTGTAGGTGTGGGACTGTATAACCTATGCTGAGGTACGCACCTCAAAAATGTTAATTTGGTCCAGGACATGTTGAGTCGGCTAAGTGCTACCACAGATGCAGCTGTAGCACTAATAAACTAGATCTTGAGGGAGTCATTGCAAAGGAGAGCAACGGTGACTGAGAAAGCTCAATGAGATGGGCATAGGAAATTCACATTTTATTCAAAAGCGAAACTTAAAAAGGAAACAGAGTCAACCACATTCCTTCTTTTAGGCCTTCTGCCATTTTCACTAATGAAAACCAAAATGACCTCAGATTCTTCAAGGTCAAGTATGTCATCAATTAGATAACCTGCAGGTATCAGACCCTCATGGAATCTACTAAGTTGTCACAATGTCCTGTTTTTGAGGTATTTAAAAAAAATTGTGACAGTGGATGATGTAAAAATGGAGCTTCCTGTTGAGTTCTTAAAAACATCAACTTCTGTGGACCCAAAGAGAAATTTAGCACCAACTAAAAGCAGCCTCAGTGACATCAAGGAACAAAGAATGTTCCTGCCTTTAGTCTGAACACGAGGGCCTGACAAGAAGTAGAAGCCACCCTGGGGCCAAGGCCGGGAGGAGCACAGGAATGAACCCTTGCTCACTACGTGAGGAAGCAGCTCCCCTGCACCCACTGCATGGGCTCCCTTGAGACTCCCTGGGACAGATATCTGCTCAGCACCTGGGCTGCGGAAGGAAGATGCGCAGCTCTGGCTAAGACCCATGCCGTGCTAGACAAGGCAGGAGCACCGACTCCCCTTCCTCAGAGAAATCACCGCATGTCTTTGCCTTCCCACTGGGCCTGAAAAGACAGGCGTGAACCAAAGCACCCGCCAAGCGAGGCAGGCCCCTCAGCAAGGGGCCCACCTTCTTGACTTGCCTTTCTTTGTTTGGCCAGCAAGGGAAGAACAGTAAAACAAAAAACTGCTCAGAGCAGATTACAGCATGGTAAACGGAGGTCTAAGAAGACAGCACCAAACGAGGAGGAACAAAAAAAGCCGAGAGAGACTGGAGCCCACCTTGTTTTTGGTTGGTTGTGGTTTCAGAACATTGATAGCACCTCAGCGAGACAGGATCAGGGACAGTCACATTAAAACACCATAGCACCATTTTATTTAGACTATTTCAACTCATAAAAATGCTTCCTAGTCCATAAAACACACTTCAGTAACGAAAGGAAAGAGATACTGGTTGAGGCACGTCGGGGATATATCAGAGCTTTCCGCCAGCTTTGCCTTGGGTTGGGATCACGGGGCGGTTAAATGTCAAGATGAAAGCCTGGCTGGGTTTCTGTCAGAGAAATCAGTCCACCATCTACTCATCATCAACCATTCTCACTCACCTACTGCTGTCTGATACAAAGCAATTAAGCTTATGACTTCTTTCCTTGCGATAGTGCTTTAAAAATCCCTTGCTCTGCAAACTGCTTCCAACAGGCAAGGGAAGGATCAGAAGGGGCCGGTAGAAAACCTTTCCATGCACGCTGCTGTTCATCTCTGGGAGAAGGCAAAGCAGCACCCAGGAAGCCACGTGTGGGGAACTGGGACCTTGCTAAAAACCAGACCCCAACAAAACCTCCCAAATCTAAGCAACACTGTTAGTCAAGCTTTCTGATGGTAAGAGGATGGTTTCTTGAGCTAGCACCAGTTATTGGGTGAGAACCTGCTGCAAAGTGATTTTTACTTTAAAAAAAAAAAAACCAACAATCTCTTAGCACAAAACTTTGCAAGTACTTCCCTTGCACACAACAGGCAGCGGAAACAAAACAAAGCAAAAAAAGGAACCAAACATTTGCACTACATGTGGATGGTGTCTGTGGACGGGCACATGGGGAGGCGACAACATAGACGCCATCGTTTTCTGTTGCTATGTTACTCTTAAAACTTGGTCATGCTGTTAGGTTCTTTAGTTGCAATGGCTTTCTTTGTCTTCTCATGATAAGAATGTTTGTCAACCATCTTTAGGTCTTAAAAAATGATAATGCCAGTAAAAAATAAAAATTTGATTTTTTTTTTTTTAAGAAGCCTTCAGCAGCAAGGGGGTAAAGAGCTGTGCATAGTTACATTTCAAATACACGTCTAAAGCATGCTAATTTCAATGACTGAGATTTGAGGTAGGTTATACATGTAGTGTGTAAAAATCAGCATGGGTTTGAGCACGGCAACAGCACCAGCTAACTCTCGGGACCCTGCCGCCCAGAGGGGCGCGGGCGCACCCCACAGAGCCCGCCTCTAGACCTACAGCCTGGTTCCAGCTTGAAGCTAAGGACGAAGGCCGTGTGGGTGGGGACATCCCAGGCGTCACACGCTAGTAGCTTGTATTGGTTTCTCCTTTCAGCTAATGGCTTTGCTACCAAAGGGTGACAAGGGGAAGAGCACAGTTAACAAACATCAGAGATCCACACATGCCAAGCATCAGAATCACCTAGGTTACACTCAGAACCTTCCAAACCAACAGCCAACCTGGGGCTTCCATGGGCCAGACAGACGGTCACATTCTCCACGTTTCGTACAATATCGTATTTCTTGCTTAAGATCATTTAAAATGAAGTTTTCAAGGCACCCCCGCATCTACCTAAGCACGGAGTCAAATGAGACCTGCATAAAAGTACTGATGCGATAAGCAAAATAGCATTTAAAGGACCCAACTTTTCCTCAAAACTAGAAAATTAGCATGCTCATTAAAGACTCTGCTTCCTTTAGCTTGTCAGACTGAAGGTCAGAGGTTTTCCTATAAATCTGAGTTCTGAATAATCCTAAATCCTGATAAGCTCTTGGGTATTTATTTCAAAAGCAATAATATTTCATTTTTGTCCTGTAAAATAAATGCAACTTTACAGAATATGGTAAAAGTGGAGGATAGACAAAGCACGTTAAATATTCAGCTACTATTTACAATTTCTCCCACAATTACATGTTAAAATGTACTTTTTTTCAAGTTGCTGTTTAAATCTAGGCAAAAGTGCTTAAAAAAATCTTTTCACTATTTACAGTTAAAACCAGACCACATAAATGCTCAGGACATCTTACAGCGACTCTCCACCAGCGCTTCTGAAAGATTACAGCAAACGCCCAGCGGATCGGTCTCAGCTCTTACACAAGGCACCTGGAGGCTCAGGAGCTTGCTGTCAGTACTGTCATCTGATTGTTAGACTCAATTTATGAAGACCCAGATCTGAATAAAACTGCTTAATAAATACCTGCTTGGCCATCACTCACCGTGTAGCCACACCCATGTCCGGATGAAGCCCCTACTCACCACACACGTCCACATGGGTAGCTTGAGATCACTTCCACCAATACCACAGGGAAAACAAGTACTCCAAGAAGTCTGACTGGCTGTAGATGAGTGTTGCTTTCAACTGTCTGCCCCAACCTCTCTCAACAATGTCACAAAAATTAAGCACCACATTCTCTTTTCAAAGAACTCAACAAATGCACCAGAATTTTAGAATGGGTGTGTTCCAGGGGATGGAAAGGGAAGGAAGGAAAAAAGAAATCCAATGGAGAACTGGCACCAATGAGGGAGGAAAATCATAGCAACCTGTTGAAAACGTTTGACTCTTGCACTTTGAGTGGGCCCTGCCCCTGCAGAGAGCAGGAGGGGTGGGCTGGGGAGGCATGCACCATTGTCCAATGTGGAGATCCAGGAAAAGGACAGATGTGTTAACTGCTGTTACACTGGTTGGCTGAGCTCCTGCAGGATGCAACCTGCCCAAGAGTCAAAGTCCCAGCACAACACTACAGCACCAGGCTCTGCACAGCTCCACGCACAGAGCCAGCTTGGCTCTTCACAGCTTGGGTTCAACTTCTGTGTTAAGAGATACAGTAGCCCTTTTTCGGTATCAGCATAGACTTTGGGGCGATTTTTTAAAAACTGCCACTAGATAAACTCCTTCAGCCCAGAATTCACTACCTTACTGACATGGTGCGGAGGGCTCTAGGAGCCGCTCAGCTCCAGCTTCGGCATGAGGTGCTGCTGCCTAGTGAACCATGACATCCTGTGGACTTGATAAATAACGGACAGAGGATTCAGTGTGGAGACTAGCAGGCTTGAAGCTGTCTAATTTCAACCTGGTTTCTGGGGAGCTCCATGCCAGCGTGTCCTGGGCTGGGCCTGGGGTGCCTGTGCCCAACTGCTACTGGGAAGGGGCCCAGATGCTTGTCTGCAGCTTCTCCCATCCTCCAGGAGAGGACAGAAGCTGGCCTGAGGGCTCCCTGCCCACGGGGAGGGAGGGACAGACCGGGGCTACACGCTACACTTGGCTCACCTGGGCAGATGGCCGAGAACCTGTCAGCTCCCAAGAGGCCGGGTGTGCCGGTGGGAGCAGTGCTGCCGGCCTTTCCTGCCCGTCCATTACCATTACTATTGTCGCTTTTAAAAAATCCAATAAATACACATTTTAAATGGAATTTAAAACTACTCCTTTGTGAAAGGACACTATAAACTTTCTTTCCATTATTGTGATATACAAGGATAGAGTTTTAAAAACAGAAAACAAAAGCCCCTCCAACAAGGGGAAAAATAAAACAACGTGGACATATAAATATTAAGATCACGGAAAAAATCACCCGACAGCCGTAGTTTCTTCTTCAAAGTGCTGGGGACGTGGGGGGAAGGAAGAGGCGGGTCAGTTCTGAGGTTTGGACCATAAATACATATATATGATAGGCATCTCCATATATGTATGTATAGATAGAAAGACTTCTGCACCCCCAACCCGCCCCCGGGTGTGAGGGCAAAAGCACCACAGAGGCAGCTCGGGCTGGGCCCGACGCTGAGGTACGCTGGCTCCCTGGCACCTAGATCCAGCGGCTGTAGGGGCCAGTGACCTTCGTGTAGGCGTAAGAGGACACGGTGACCGCTGAATCTGTGGGCACGGCCAGTGCCTGCCGGGTGGGAACGGCTCCCTTCCTCTCCTTGTGCTGGGGCTCGGCGACCAGGGCGCCCCCCCACTTGCGCTTCTTCCCGTAGAGCTTGGCCTCCTGCTGGCCCAGGCCCAGCCGTGCGGCCTCCTCCTGCCGTGCCCGTGCCCGCTCCGCCAGCTGCTTCATCTTGGCCTCCCAAAGGGCCAGCCCGTGGTTGGGCTGGTTGAGGTTCTTGTGCTGGTAGAAGACCAGCGAGATGCGGGTGGGGTGGCAGCGATTGGGCTTCTTGAGTGGTGTGGTGGCATGCAGCTCCCGCCGGGCACACTCAATGAGGATGGATCCATGGGCTGGGGCCACAGCGACACCGCCGATGTTCTCGTCCAGGAAGTTGTGTTCGCTGTCTGACCACAGTTCTTCTTCCTCCTCCTCCACACTGGCCTTCTCCTCCTTCACAGTCCCCTTGGCAGCCTCATCAGATGTCCCCTCCTCCAAGCTGAAGGGATCCCACAGCTTCTCTTCAGACTTCAGGGACCCAAAGAGTTTCTCACTGGATCCCAGGGGCACCCCAAAGGCCTGCCAGGCCTTGTCCAGATGGCTTGCCCCCGGCGTGGGAATTCTTCCCTCCTCCCCTTTCAAGGGATTCCACAACTTGTCTTGGAATCCAGGACTGCCTTTCAGGGCAGATCTGAAATCCCCTGCCCCTATCCCCCAGGGCTTCTCAGTCAGGCTAGGCCCAGCCAAAGCCGAGGTGCTGTTCCCAAACTTGCAGGGGCTCCATGATTTGCCTTGCAGCCGTGATCCAGGATGGGGAGCCAGCTGCTGCCCCTCACTGGCAAACAGACCCCACTGGCCCTCTGGGAAGTGAGATGGGGTTAGGCAGCTGGCCCCAAAAGAATTGAGCTTGTCAGGAACAATGGCAGGGCTTTCCCCAGGAGGGAACACCCCCCAGCTGCCACCCACACTGTTAGTCCTCTTCGGGGACATGCTTGGGCCTCCTGAGTACTGTCCCCATAGGTGATTGGGTCCCCCATTCTGAGATGCTTCCGGCAAAGGCGTTTTGCTCATTTTACCAGGGTCTCTGGGTACAGATTCGGTCTGGACCAGTGGGTCTACTGGTTCTTGCTTGATGGATCTGTTGTAGCAGTTAGAGCTCTGAGCAAAGGGAGAGGGGTCCCTGGACACTGGGTGGAGCTGGGGAGCCTTGGGAATCAGATACTCCTTGGGGCCTGGGTAAGCAGGCTGCTGGTGGTGAGGAGTGGGGTGGTGGGTGTCTGTGGGAACAACCTGGCCAGGCAGCTCGGCAAACTCAGCACCACTGTAGGCCGGGCTCAGGCTGTTGTGCAGAGCATGGAGGTCTGGCTTCTTCTCAAAACTGCCACTGCTGCCACTGTGCCCCCAGCTGCCAGGACCCAGGAACTGGGAGGGAAAGACGGGGTTGCTGGATGGAAAGCCATAGTAGCCAAACGACGGAAGAGCATATTTGGAGTGGAACCCGTTGACAGAGGTCAGGCTGGGCTGTGCATAGTAGGAGTGGTAGGAGTATACACTGTTCATGCTGTAGGGGTCGGAGGGCCGGCAATTGCCCAGCACCGAGTAGCTCTCCACCACGGCGTTGCCACTGTACTTGAAGGAGCTGAAGTGGTTCTGTGGCTCCACCTTGAGGGAGGGCTTCAGGCTTTGTTGGGACAATCCACCCTTCAGAGACAGGCCTGGGGAAGCAGAGGGCAAGGTGGAAAAACAGCTGGCAACACCACAGCCTGGCAAGAGCTGGGGCAGAGGACGGGGATGGAGCTTCCCTCACTCCCTGAGATTGTCTACTCTTTATAGAGAAGCAGGATAGGTGGGGAGCACCAAGCAGGGACCCCAGCTTGACTCCTAGCCCCACCCCCCCAAGTACAGACCCAAGCTGTACTTCAGGTGGAAGCAGGCAGCTTGCTCAGAGTCCATGGCCCTTGTCTACATCTCTCCTCATGTTACGCTAGTAAGGGCTGGAGTTTCCCCTGAAGAACCAGCTCGCATGCATGCTGGATCAGCATCCCTGCAGGCATCAAGGCCTGGAGAAAGGACAATGCAGGCACCTACCATCCAATGTCAGCTCCAGCCCCAGGGTGATGTCCCCCTCAGACTCAGCAGGTACGTGAGCATCCTACAGGAGAACCTAAGCCTTCCACCTGACAGAGCTCCCTGAAGACAGTGCATCCTCTTTGTTCTTACTTCCCACCCTGGTGCCCTCTATCAGGTATCTTAGTATGTGACACAAGCCCATGGACTCTGTCTCAAACTGTTGGCAGGAAGGTGGGGAGTGGGGCTCAATGAGGGGAGTCTCAAGGATGGGGCCCTCTCCACACACCTGGGTCAGTGGGGACCCCAGCCAGCTCCAGGGCCTCCTGCTTGATCTTCTCGGGGGTGCTCAACTTCTCCTTCTGAATCATCTTCTTCTTCTCAGCTGCTGCCCTCCTGGCTTCCAGCTGCCGCTGGCGGCAAGACTTGGCAGGTTCAGGCAGGCGCCGGACCTCTCGCGGGAAGGCGGTGAGCACCTGGATGGCCCCACTGCTCACCTTGGCATTCTGGTTCTCCTCGCTGCCAAACTCATCCGTGCTGGCCATCTTGTACAGGGGGAGCACGTGCAGCTGCTCGTCGTCAGGGATCTGGCCCACACAGCGATTGTCTTCCTTGGTTAGGGTGCACACCTGCCTCACACAGCAGGAGAGAAGACATGGGGCTGGGGCCCAAGCACTGGGAGGCAGGGGTCTGAGCTGGCAGATGGGACCTCCTCCCACAATGGGTCCCTCTGCCAGCCACCCACACACTCTCCCATCCCCAACTACTTCTCAGAGTCTAAAAAGCTCACTCATTTTAGCCCACAGAGTAACAGCATCACCAGCACATACTGTGTGCTACAGCTTTCAAAGCAGGTGCACCTGTGTCACTGCCTATGTCCCTGACACAGCTGTGAGTGGATGAGATGACTGGCATAGGGTCTCACAGCCAACAGGACCATGACCAGGAGACTCACTGCCTGCCGCCGAGCCTTGCTGCCACTGCACACGACTTAGCCAAGCCTAGGACCTTCTACCCTCATCCCCTCTGTCCCTAAAGCTCAGCTCTTCTTGCTCTTAAAATAATCTTTAAATTAAAAACTATGTTCTGGTTGAATAAAATTTAGGCAAGCAAGAAGATATAATAACTATCTCCAGGAAACCTCTACTCAGAAATAAACACTGTAAATACTCAGGCCATTTATGTGTACACATGCACACAACTAGTTTTGGGTAATTAAATAGGATACTGCGCATGAAGTAGTAACTTCATTTTTCTTGATGTACTTTCTTATGCATTAAATATCCTTCCTGCTATTTCTAAAGAGCTCCTCAGCATTACTCTACTTTATCAATGTGTTACTTGTTTTATGATCAAACACTTCAACTTGTTTTCAGTTTTCCCCTATCATAACAATACTTTTTGAAATTATTCTGCCACATTTTCTAAAATATTTAATTCCTTAGAATAACTGCTCTGAAGCAGGCTTGACACATACAATATTGCTGAACTGCTTCCCAAAATGATTTTTTATTCATACCAAAACCTGAGTTTTAGTTTCTCCATGTTTTTGTCAGTAAGTCTGCCATTAATTTTTTTATGTATTGCACTGCTGGTTTACATTTCTCAACACCTCCCCCGGCTTCTGTCAAGTTTACTTTCTTCTACTTTATTTTCTGTAGATGCTCTGGGTTTGGGGTCTTGTTCTTGCAACAGCTTTTTTTTTGTATTTTTAATAAGTGTCTATAGTGCCTACAGGGTCTCACTGCATAGATCATACTCGGAGTGATCCACCTTTGTTCAGCCTCCCAAGAGCTGGGATTATAGGCGGGTGCCACCATGCCCAGTATCAATTGCCATCTCAGTGCACCGCAGGGGCGGGGCCAGCACAGCACACTAGGGATCGAACTCCGGCCACTGCGTCAGCCTAAGGTGGCCCTTTAATCTGCTGAGCTATTTGGCCAGCCCTTGGGGCCTTGCTCTTAAAATATAGGCCTTCTAGGCAAGCTAATTCCTGGAGATAGCAAATGACCCTGAGACTGCACCTCTGATACACAAACCAAACAATATGGAAGCCCAGCTACCTCCTTTATCAAGCTCACATGGCAAGCCAGTATTTGCCATGCCCTAACTTACCCTTGGGTCAGGGGCCTACCGCTGCCTGGGAGCACTTCCATACCTCCAAGCCTGCTGAAATTATCCTCAGTATTCAGTCCCAAACTTATTCAGCACACCAACCCTGCCCTGACCCTTTCTCCCTGTGGAGCACAACAAAGGCTCCAGAGTCCATTTCCCTGACTCCCTGTGCCTCCTGAGAGACCCTGGTCTTCTGTGTGAGCCCTGTGTGGCACGGCTTCCTGGTTCTAGGGACCAGTGAATACAAACTTCTTTAATGACAGTCATTTCTGTATCTAAAGACACATAATTAAAACCAATCTTGGATAGATGATTTTTTTTTTTTTTTTTTTTTTTAACGGAACCAGGGATTGAACTCAGGCCCTTGCTCTTGCCAAGGAAGCTCTTATTCTACTGAGCCATCTCCCCAACCCCTGGCTAGATTTTTTTTTAAACATAACTCTTCTTCCTTTGGTAAGTTTTATGCCTTTTGTGCTTTTTTTTTTTTTTTTTTTTAGCCTGGCTGGCTTTGAATGCAGGATGTAATCCAGGCAGGCATCAAACTTGCCTCAGCTTCCAAAGTGCTGGGATTATAGGCCTGTGCCACCACGTCTGGCTGGTCTTTACATTTTGATTGTGTTTTATTTATTGAAAAGAGACTTCATTTTTATGGTGGCAACTTCATAAATTCTTTTATTTCTGGCTTCCTGCTTTGGGTCATGCTCCACCCAGCCTGTTTCTCCCTTGGGGCACAGGGTTCTCCAGACCCTCTCTGCTGACCAGATTTGTGTGTCTGTTCTGGGTGGGTCTGGCCACCAGCCTTACTTCCTCCCACTCTAGGGACCCAGTGTTATAAGCAATAGGACAAAGGGCAAAAGCAAAGGATGAGACGTGACAGACACTATGCTGCCATCCCTAACAAAGGAAAGAGACTTTACACAGGCAATCTCGCTTTGAAAAATAAGCAGAAAAGGACATCAAATGGGATTCACAAAGATGAAATTAAAACATGCAAGGAAAACAGGAAAAGATGTTCAACCTCTTGAGCTTAAAGGAGATACAAATTAAAATGAGACTGTATGCTTGCCAATGAGGCAGGGAAAGACCAGACTGGCAAAATTCAGCGCTGCCGGTCAGCAGAACAGGCAGTCCAGCTTGCAAATGTGAACATCCTTGCCCTGGAACCTCAAGGAGACCAACCACACCTCTGCAGTCCTCCCTGGACTTACAGACTGGAAACGTCTGTAAGTACTTAGTGCCCGTCCACAGACTGGTTAAATAAGTGACGGCAAAGCTACTGATACAGCCTCGGCAAATGGGGACACAAATCCATATCCACCAACACAAAAGCCCTGAGAGATCCCTGAGGTAAGAGTTGTAGAACAGCTTGAAGATACAATATTTATATTATTTAAAAGTCTTATAATGATAGCAACTAGTAGTAGGAAAACATGCTTTTAACTTTGAGAAAAATATTGTCCTGGTTCACCTCAAGTTCTAGAAGCTCTGCTCACCTAACTCTGGTGCTCCCTCCTCCTCTGCCTCTCTGAACCCTGAAAGGTCTGCCCTTTCTATCTATTTCAGCTAGACATCTTCATACTAAGGTAGACAGGAACTGGCCCATCTTGCTTTTCGGTCTTGCACACAGACAACATGAAATTCTGAAAAGGGACCGTCATTTCCCACATGGTTAACAGTGACAACCAGCCTAGCAGCCCCTGTACCTTCCACAGCTTTCTGGAGCCCTTCTGACACAGGACCTGGCTGAGCAGCAGAGTAGAACACTGGCTGCACCCTCTGTGCCCGAGCCTCCCATCTGCCCTCCACACTCAGTCCCTTGGCGATCTACCCAGCCTCCCAGCTGCAAGCTCCGTGCTCTCCAAAGCCTTCCTCTGCCCTGCCTGCTCCATATCCCACCTGTACATCTAATAGGCATCTCTAAACAGAACGTGGGACTTTCTCTGTTCTCTCCCTGTTATTCTACTCCAAAGTTAATGGCATCAACATACATAGGCTGATCACTTTATTCCTTGCTTGCTTCATTTTTCTCTCTTACAGTCTTCACTGCTAGAACGGCATTGCACACTGGGGTGAATACTTTGTCTGTTTTACTCCCCAGCACCTAGCTAGCACCTGAGACCAAAGCAGGTGCTCAATATACATTATCCAATGAATGAACTAGAGTTTAGATTTAAACCCAGGAGTTCACAGAGAACTGGAAACACACTTTTCTGATAACCAGGGATCCAGGCACCTGTGGGGCTGTGTCCCATAGCATCTACCTCAGACACAGCACTCACTCCCAGCACTGTTTCCTCATCCTGTGAGCATTTCTCTGAGGAGGGGGCAGGAGCAGGCAGTCTGGCCAGGTATCCCTGAAAATCCTGCCTCCATGTCCCTCCCTCTTCTGAGCCCATTTTCTGCACAGAGTATAGCTAGCTTTTCTCTCAGGATCGCCATGTGGCTGGGGTTGGGCCAGGACCCAAGCTTTCTTACCACAGTACACCCATTGTAGAGGTTATGCTGGTCCTTGTGGGCGTGGGCGCAGAAGTCCATGCAGGCTGTGACCCCCGAGAAGGGCCTCCCTTCCTTCAGTCCCAAGCGGCAGTCGATTGCTACTTCCTCATTGGTCACCTGTATGAATGGCCAAGGACAGCTGTTTATGGGGCCTGAGATGAATAGCCCTGATTCTGTACCTGGGGGCCTTGAAAGTTCAATACTATGAAGGAAGGTTTTCTGGCTAAGGCCCCAGATCCAAATCAATTCCTTTCT